ACTTACCACAATCACCACGCACATGGGACTATTTCAATATACTCGTTTACCTTTTGGCATTAATTCCGCCCCCGGAATATTTCAGAGAATTATTGACGACCTAGTGAAGGACATTCCTTTTGTGTGTGCTTATCTGGATGATATTCTTATCTCTGGACGCTCGGATACAGAGCATCTTCGAACACTCGCGGTCGTGCTCGAGCGTTTGGAGCGAAGTGGATTCAGATTGAAAAGGTCTAAACGTGAGTTCCTTTCACCTTCCGTTTGTTACCTTAGATACCGGCTTGATAAACACGGTTTACATGTTTTAAATGACAAGGTTAAACCTATTTTAGAAAGCCAAGAGCCAAAGAGTTGTGATGAACTCCGTTCGTTCTTAGGAATGCTATCTCACTATCGCCGTTTCCTGCCTAATGCATCGACGGTTCTATCGCCATTAAATGAGCTGTTACACAAAAATGCATCGTGGTGTTGGGGTTCCCGTCAAAAAAGTGCCTTTAATAAAGCAAAACAAGCTCTTGCTTCGCCACCAACGTCAGTCCATTATGACTCTAACAAGCCAGTCATACTTCAGTGCGACGCGTCCCCTTGGGGGGTCGGGGCTGTCCTGTGCCACCGCATGGACGATGGTTCTTTACGTCCCATAGCATATGCATCGCGCACCTTACAGACGGCGGAGAAGAACTACTCCCAACTGGACAGGAAAGCGCTAGCCGTTATCTTCGGAGTTAAGAGGTTTCACCAGTATTTATGGGGAAACGTTTTCGAGCTTCATACAGACCACAAACCATTGATATCCTTGTTTGGGGAAACCAAAGGTATACAACAAATGGCATCACCGAGGATGCAAAGATGGGCTATAACCTTGAGTGCTTACAGTTACAAGATTGTTTATATTACCGGCGTCAGCAACTGCACAGCTGATGCACTCAGCCGTCTGCCGATCACGGAAACTGCACATGAACACGACCCTCCGTTTGAACTGGTTAATCTAATGCAACATCTAGACACAACACCGATACGGAGTTCAACAATCCGTCAATGGACGGATCGAGACCCCGTGCTATCAATGGTGAAACGCTTTTTGAACATGGGTTGGCCTCCTGAAGGGACAGTTGAATTACAACCGTTTATGATTCGGAAGAACGAACTGAGTCTATTCGACGGCTGTGTTTTTTGGGGCTCTCGTCTAGTCCCTCCCACCAAGGCGCGTTCACAGATACTTAAAGAGCTCCATGATGCTCATCCAGGTGTGGCGAGGATGAAGGCACTAGCGAGAGGGTACTGCTGGTGGCCCAACATCGACTCAGACATAGAGAACTTACTGAAGAATTGCGATATTTGTCAGGCGTATCAGCGGAGCAAGGCGCCAGGTCCAATACACCCTTGGCGTTGGCCCGACAAGCCCTGGCAGCGTATCCACGCCGACTACTTCGGACCGATCGACGGGACCATGTTTCTTCTACTTATTGATGCACATTCTAAGTGGATTGACGTACATCCAGTTACTCAGGCGACAGCCGAATCCACCATCACTAAAATGCGCTCGTCCTTCGCTACGTTTGGCATTCCGGAAACCATTTGTACAGACAATGGTTCGCCTTTTACCAGTGCCGAATTTGGTAAATTTGTCGCCAACAACGGAATCCAACACGTTAAATCAGCCCCGTATCACCCAGCATCAAACGGATTAGCGGAGCGTGCAGTACAAACTGTGAAACAAGGCTTACTAAAGCAGCGAACGGGAACATTGCGAACAAAACTGGATCGGTTCCTATTCTCCTACCGTTCTACACCCACTGAGGCTACCGGGAAATCCCCGGCGGAATTGATGTTCGGCAGAAATCTGAGAACGAGGCTTCATTTGTTGTTCCCGAACCCGCGTGTTGAAGTACAGGAGCGTCAGAAAAAGTTTGTGTCTTCAGAGGAATCAAAGCCGGAAGTTACATTTCAGGACCATCAACCTGTTTACACCAGGTTACCGCATGAACAATGTTGGCAGCCGGCGACTGTGCTCGATTCTTCAGGAAGTCAAAACGATTTGCAGCTTCCGGACGGCCGGGTTGTTCGCCGGCACTCAGATCATGTACGCCCCAGGAGCACTGACACACCTGCCGTGAGTCAGTCACACTCGGAGATCGCAGAGCAAGCTGCAGAGCACGACGAACACAGAACAACAGGGGAAACTCAATTACGCCGATCGACCCGGATTCGCAAACCGATCGAACGTTTTCAGCCATGACTGTAACGTCAGCCAAAACAGGGAGGACTGTTACGTGTTCAACCAATGATCGCTCACTATGACCGTGAACCTGATTGGCCCTACACACACACGTAGATAAGCACGCACACACGCACTCAAGGACACACCCTAACGTTCCGTGCTCACATGTAAACCGTTAAGTGTTCAGTACACTGTGCGCCAGACTGACGCGTCTTCTTGCTTATTCGCTACGAGTTGAAATACGTACTTGCGGTTAGAG